ACACATTCTGAATAAGAAAAGTGCCAGATCCAGCTAAAAGTAATCCTATTAAAGACAACAGAGTTAAATGAGTAAGAAGAGAAAGGTTTAGTGCCATGTGTGATCACTGCAAAACTGTCTGGTTATTATATATGCCAGTACACATGAAGATATAATGTGGTCATACTAGATCACCTCAATAGTCTATCAAGTCTAATATCCTGTCTCTGGAAACTGCTTACACCTGATGGTCACAGAAAGATGAAGGAAAAACCATGCCCCTGGATGACTTGGCAATGCTGTTCATAGGCAGAGAGCAGGCGTGATTCCTTCCTGAACCCTGCAGCCATCAGCCTACACGCTGAAGCATGAAATTTCTTTAACCCTTGCATCAAGTTGGAAACAAGAATCATAAAGTCATCCAGCCTGTTTTACACCACAGGTCTCCCTAGAGCGCCAAATTTTTAATGAAAATTTCAGGTGAGTCAGACCACAGGGCTCCTCACATTGAATTAAATATAGAGTCGCACAGGACAAAGTTTTGCTTGTTCTACAAAAAAATGAATACTTTACAATTTGATTGTAAGCTCCTTGGGGTAGGGATTGTCTCTTAATGTGTGTTTGTAAAGCACCCACAGAGATCCATTGTATTCGGGATGTCTACATTGCCATAAGAAAATCATAGCACTGAGTCTCAGAGGCCAGGTCAGCTGACTCGGGCTGCAGGACCATAAAATTTCAGTGTAGACAGTTGGGCTAGGGCTGAAGCCCAAGTTCTGAAACTCTCCCCTCTCACAGGGTCTCTTAGCCCAGGCTCCATCCTGAGCTCAAATGTATAGACTGCAATTTTGCAGCCTGAGCCCCACAGGCCTGAGTCAATTGACTCGAGCCAGCCACCTCCTAACAGTGACTCGAGCCAGCCACCTCATTACAATGTAGACATATCGTAAGACTGACTGAGCCTTTGAACATTACCATCTTACAAATAATACACTGTTCTACTTTGCAGGCCTTTGTAGAATTGTACTTGCAAATCTAATAAACAAAGTCTCACTAAAGAGCCTCAGTTTGTACATCAGAACGCTATGGAAGTGCTCTATCTCTCAAAAGGAAAAAAAAACAACAGTGAATGTGTAAGCCATAAAGGGCCTCTTCTCTAACAGAGATGAAAATTCCTTTCTTTCAAAACAACTTTATGGAGTCATTTAAACATCAAATTGCACATTTTATTTATCCTCATTAGATTATCATTTCAAGTTCAGGATACTACTTTGGAAGATCCTCCTAGTATGTCTCTGACATGGTCTTATAAAAATCTCTCTATGTTTCACTTAATATAACTTTGGAAGGATCTCAAGACATAATAAAAAAGCAACATTAGAGCCTTAATGATTTGCAGACTGATACTCTTATCATGAAGTCTAATTTAAAAAAACACCTTCATATAAATGATTATTTAAATGCAAAATAAAATGTAAAACAATGAAGCCTTGATAATATGAATGCAAGTGAGAGGAAACACAAAATGACTATTCATGTGTTTAAAGGTTAAAAGGAAGTTTCTATGTCTTTGGAGAAAATGCAAATATTAATTTGGGGGAATGATTCTAAACGTCACATTCACATTTGTGTACTCCAAGCTTTTTGTGGTCCTTAATGAAAGTCACCACACTATATTCAAGGGCAAGGATATGAAAACTATAAGAATCCTGATATTTTGCAAAACAAGGATCACAAAAGTAATGGATATACAATTAGCACCATACTGTAAAATAAAGTACCTGAACAGACAATACCACTTTTTGCAGAACATAAGAATGGCCATACTGGGTCAGACCAAAGGTCCATCTAGCCCAGTATCCTGTCTTTTGACAATGGCCAATACGAGGTGCCCCAGGGGGAATGAACAGAACATGTAATCATCAAGTGATCCATCCCCTGTCACCCATTCCCAGCTTCTGGCAAACAGAGGCTAGGGACACCATCCCCATCCATCCTGGCTAATAGCCATTGAGTTCAGCCTTGCTATCTTTCTTTCATCAAAAGTTAAAACTTGATCTCCTCTGATTGTTTCAAACACTGATGTAAAATATACCATGTCTAACAGATTATTTAGCTGGTGTATACAATAAATTAGATGTTTTTCACAAGTCTCACCCCCACCCCCCGCTTTTTTTTTTTAAACAAACAAGCAGAGTATTTGGGCGTACATATCCTGTTTCCTTTTTACCACGGAGCTAGCAGCAATCTTCTACATGTTTTCATGCTATTTCTTTCACTTCTGCAGTAGCTGAGGACTCCATTAATTATCACAGTTTATTTATTAGACAGTAACTTATGGAGACTTGTGCTTAAGCGTAGCAAAAAATACAGTTATACAGATGACAAGTTCAGCCTCCACATAAGACAGTTTTAGGAGTGTTGCTTCTGGAACGTGTCTTCTCAGGAGAGCACAAATCATCACACAATTCACATAGGGTTTGAAATAAAAATGAATGGAACAAAAATAAAAATAGAATTGTCATGTACTAAATGTTCCTCAAAACTACTATACTATAATATACAAATTATAGTTACTACATGAAGTGGCAATCAGTGGTTCTGTATTTGTTTCAAGCTATTACTGAAGTCAGACAAGGTAACTATACAAACCTTTTTATATACACTAACCTTGCAAAGTAGTTGGGAGTCTGTGCGGGCGGGGGTGGACGGGGGGGGCACAAATTTTACTTCATGTTTTCACATTATAGGTTTGCCACTGGGAAATGTGGAACTGAAATTTAGGCATAAATTTTATTTTTATAAAATCAGTCTTCAAGATTAATCTTTGCCTATCAACTTCTACCACTGCCATAACATACAAATTGTTCTGCTTGAAATACATAGACCAGATACATATTGTGGTGATAACTTTTGAGATTTATCTCTAAACATGAAAGAGATGGTACTTTTTTCAGAGGCATAAATTGTATTTAGTACTAAACCTTATTGCAATTTTTGTTTTAAAAGTCAGAAAAGCCTGCCTATTAGGAAATCTAGAAGGATATTTACTCTAAATTTAATCAATATATATCTGTATGCTACCTGTCAATCAGGCACATGAAGCCAAATTAATCCCTCATGTCACTTTGTGGAAGCCAATGGAGTTGGATCAGGGATGAATCAGACCCAGGACTTTTAGTTTTTGTTTTCATTAGATGAACTTTCATTTTTATTCATACTGTAAATGAGAACAATGAATAATGACGACTTCCATACACCTGCTGCAGGGGTGCAGCTAGAAGTCCAAATGAATGGGGTGATTAATCCCCTCCACCCCAAAAACTGACTTCAGAGTAATGATTTGAAAGAGATTTAACAGATTTTCTGAAACATCACAGAAGCTGAAGTCCCAAACTTTTCTAAATACGGGGTCTCAGAAATAGGGTAATCCTAACAGATTTTAAATTGTTGGCCTAAATTTTCAAAACTGACTAGTGATTTTTGGTGACTCAGTTATAGGTTACCAATTTAAGATACAATAAAGGGACCTGATTTTCAGAAGGTAAGTGCAAAGTGCTTTCAAAAAATTAGGCCCCTTCAAGGTGCCTCAAGTTGGCCACCCAAAATGTAAGCACCCTAATCACTAGTCACTTTTGAGAATGTAAGTTACTACTACTACAACAGTTGTTTGTTAACTGAATCTGGACTTACTTTAAAGGATTTATTAGGTTATGTATTTATTCATTCAGATTTATACACGTTAAATAAAGATCACCTATCCATATGTTCCAGGCACACTAGAGACAACCCGAAAATTCAACAAAATCAGTGCCCAAATGTAATTAAAGTATAGCAGTACAATTCAAAACAACCCACCAATAGCAACCAGGCAATCCAATACCAAATTTACCTCCCCCTCTAACAATTGTCCTCCTATTTTCAACTGGCTGAAGAAAAAAGACGAAGTTTGCCATCTGAAGGTAGTCCAAGTTAACCTCTTTGGACAAGAAGGTGAGCGAACTGTAAAGCAATTTTCATGGAAAGCACTATGCCACAGCAGCTCCTTCTCAGGTCTAATAGTGAGACTTCAGCTCAAACATCTCATCTGATCTCACCTGTGGTGGTCTGGTAGACAGGCAGGTTCTAAGCTGTTTAGGGCTGTATAATCAAAATAGACACCTTAAACAACACCTGGAAACCTACAAGTCACTAGTGAAGTTCATGGAACATGGGTTGAATATGTTCACAGCAAGGTATTGCACTTAATAGATGAGCTGAAATATTGCACCAACTCCAGTTCGTGGTTTTAAGGTGTATCCCTATGTGCATCATGGTAATCTAATCTTAAAATGACAGACATGAATGACAGTTACAAAGTCCACATCCAAGAAGCACACACAATTTTATCTGGTTGAAAAAAAAAAATAGTCCCCTAGCTCCACTGGACACATACATAGCTTTTAACAACAACTACCTTTAAGCTTTCAGTTATTCTGACTAGTTGGCTGTTTTTGATGGCCCAAAAGGCTCTCAGTTCAGGACAAAACAGGGAACATTTTGAAAGGAGCTCAGGTTTTTCACATCTGCCAGACAGACTCTTTTGTAGAACACCATTTCTGGAGATGGAATCTAACTGTTTCTCATGAAATACCAATCCTTTTTGTCCTCCACAGCCTGGCCCAATAGAGAACATGAAGTACTTTTATTGCATTCTGTGTGCCAAAAGCTTCCCACCCATGCTTTGAATTCACCTTATTTTTCAGTAATTCCCCCTTATGATAATAAAAGTGTTCATGAAGGTGGAAAAGAAAAGTTACTAAGCTAAAACACCCCAAATGTTTACCTTTGAACAGACTCAATGAGCGGACAACATTTATTACCAAACAAATAGCTTTATCAACAAATGCAATCCATTATGAAAATAATAGATATACCATAAACCCTTTTAGAGGTTTACTAGAGCTTTTTTCTATCTACTGGAAATTTTAGTTATGAGTTCCATTGTGCCAAGGACAGACCAGTCTTTTACAGACACTTACCCTCTGACAGCATGAATAAGTCTCAGTGATGGATAGGCGGTTCGCACTTTCAATTTATTCTTAAGGATTAATGCATTAACCCACTCCACATGCTTCTCTCCGCCTTTCACCATGAAAGCAGGGATCCAAAGGACACTGTCATTCAGCATGGATAGTCTATGCACAAATTTTTCTCTGTCACTCTCATTCCGAAAGCCTCCAAATGCTCTTTGTACAACTGATGGATTCATGGTAATAAAATCAGATTTAGTTCCCACATCTGCAGCAAACTCCACCACAGGGGCTAGATTGCACCTGAAGAGGAAAAAATTAATGGACAAATGAAAATAAATATGAACCATTAACTTAGATAAGGGTATGCATGAAGGAAAAGCTGAAAATGAACATGTAAAACTATTTCAAACTAGGTGAGCTAAAAAGTACCAATGGTAATCTGCATGATATTACTTAGTGCTGTATAAAGCCTGGATGTTCCCAGCATGTTCTAAAAAAGGTATTAAGTGTAATCAACTCAGTGAAGAAGATACTGTATAGTACATTTAAAATTCATATAATTAGTGTTCAAACAGAATGTGTCAATACGTAGACAAGTGCTTAACAATAACAATATGTCTCTTACAGCTATTGTTATTTTCACTAATGTGCATTTGTTTAACCTATCTTGATTAAATTCCTTGGAAACAGCTCAAGCTCTTAAAGGTAGTCATGCCAATCAAGTAAAATTCATTTATTTTTGTTATCCATTATGTAGTTTGTACAGCATAGCATTTCATACCAATCACAAATAACTGTCAGAAAAATCAAACTGGTTTGGGTTTGTTTCGTTGTCAGTAAAGCTGGATGAAAAATTCTGACAATCACGATTTGGATGACATTTTTCATCTAAGTTTCAAGTTTTGACCAAAAGAGTGACTTTTTTTTATGAAAATTATGTCCCGTTTTTAGACCAGCGGAAGTTGTCAGTGACCCCTTTGCTTTCTCCAATTTTGAGCTTGTTCAGGCCTTTTCCACCAACATGTAACTTCTAATAATCACCAACTAAGCAAAAAGAGACCAGTCTCTTAAAGTTTTACTGTAACATATTGGCCACTAAGCTCATCATTAGTAACACATCCACATATTATACACCTGATAATATTTAAAATCTGTTCTAGAATAAATTGCATTTAAAACTTTTAATATATAAAATATATCTCCAGAAGAATATGAGAATCTATTTACTGCATATACGCACAGGACAAACAAGTATCAACATAGGTAGGGTTTTTCTTACTAATTTCTTTGTTTCTGCAGCTGTTGCCTTGCAACAAAATCTTCCTACTCTTCCACTGAGTAATCATTTTGTTTGTGACAAAAATGGGATGTAATTTTAGCAAAAATTGTCAGAAAATTTCATGTAGTGACTATTCTATGCTGCTCATCAGAATCATAAATGTGCCCCTTGAAAACATTGAATTTATCCTCACAACACTGCCGTCCCAGTCTAGTGCTTTAATCACAAGAGCTGCCTTCCTCTCAATAATTCTCAAACAGGGTAAGTTTAAATGAAGAAAGTTAAGTGTGAAGTAGGAGTTGAAGTGGAAAAACATATTGGGTCCATGTCATATCTGTGTTGTAACTCAAATGAAGTAACTAGAGTTTGTACAGGTGCCAGCACAATGGCTAATTCTGAATGTGATCCTTGGCACTACTATAATATAAATAATAGTTATTATAATAGAGGTTAATTCATTTCACAAGAAACAAGATTTGCAATGCAAATTCTATTACCTGCACATACAAGTGCTAGAATCACATCGATGTGAAGGATATGGTGCTGAAATTTTTTTTATGTAAAACTGCACTGACACAAATTTGGCCAATATGCCTTTAAGACAAACCTCTTCTGATCTGGCAACAGTACTGTTTAGGTAGCATCATCTCTCTTCAATTACAAAGGTTTTCTGCAGTTAGAAAATGGTGCCTAAATGTAATTTCCCCATAAACCTGAAAAATAATTATAAGGGCTAATATCTTGTGAGTTATCACCAATTCATGAGAAACATACCTAATGCAAAAGGTTATGTTTTATAATGGTGTACTTTTTTGACCTAAAAAGCAACAGAGGGTCCTGTGGCACCTTTAAGACTAACAGAAGTACTGCCAGATATATTGGGTCAAAAAATCAGAGGGGTAGCCGTGTTAGTCTGAATCTGTAAAAAGCAACAGAGGGTCCTGTGGCACCTTTAAGACTAACAGAAGTATTGGGAGCATAAGCTTTCGTGGGTAAGAACCTCACTTCTTCAGATGCAAGAAGTGAGGTTCTTACCCACG